TCACTAGAATATTTTTCTAAAAAAAGTCACTGACTTTTTTCTCTTGTTCAAGTTGTCTCTTGATGATTTTGTCGTTTTTGGCCTCCTTGATGAGATAAACAAAATTTTATCAATTTGCCTTGATCCAAGTCTAATATCAACCAGAAATTTTAATATCATTAACTTGGGAAAGTTTTAAATAAGTACTCATTGATTCTTTTTAAAAAAATATGAAAAAAAGTTCCTATAAACATATGGGTATGGAAATGCATAGTTTTAGAATTACGGGATGTTAAAACTTTTTAAAATTAGGTTTTTGTATTTTGTGTTTGTATTGTCTTAAATACCATTATTTTTTACAACGTACCATTATTACGAGCATTAATATTACAAAGCACAATCGGATCTATGATCATATGAAAAATACATCTTATTTTTACGTGAGCAATCTCCCCACGAGAGATGACACATGTTTTTTGAAACACCCTGTATACAGAGTTGGTTTATAACATCCTAATAAAACAGTGTTAATATTTGGTGCTAATATAAAAATTTTATTTTATGCATTCACCATTTTGTCATAAACATGATTTTAGTTTCAAAAAATTAAATATTATTTTGGTTTGGTTTGTTAATGAAAGAGTATAAAACTTTCCATGAATTTATCCGTAGTAGACGGAGGTGGGACCCTAGGGTGGGGACCCTTGATAGTTCCGTTTGACGATTCATTTGACACATTTAAATTTGATTTGAAATTTTGTCGATTTGTCAGTCTTTACTAGAGCTTATTTTATGATATTTATTATTTACTCTACAACTAGTAGGTAGTTGTTTAGAGGTAGTAAATCTAGAAGGATTTTTTTTTCAGAACTTAAATTAACAATGACACTATTGCGATTTATCGAAAAAGACTGTAAAATAGTCGGTCCTGTAGCGTGCGGTAGATCTCGGTCAACAATCGGGGGATATAATGGAATAATCATTTACTAGTAAGTGACTAACTAATTATACAGGGTTGTTCACCACATACGACACGGAGTATTGTAGCTAAACGATGAGATTTTTACAAATTGTAAGTTTTGGGTTCGATGAAGGACTATTAGAGGTACAAGTTAAAAATAATTTTACAAGATACAGAGTGTCCCAAATAAGTAAAAAATATCAAAGTTGTATTTTTTTTAAATGGAACACCCTGTATATTATTACATTTTTAGTTTCTACGATTAAAATAAAGGTAAATTTGATTAAGGTTTACTATACTTAAACCTTACTGGTTTTTGAAATATTTTCAATTTTGTGAAATTGCAGTAAAAATGTTAAGGCTTCATTTCTCCAAGGGTATTAAAGTTTTTAATACTAAATATTTACTGAAGTTTATATACTGATCAGTTATTGTGTTGCAATAATAAAAATAATACTACCTTATACAGAGTGTCTAAAAATTTATTTCAAATAATTATTAGCTTCAAACGGCAGTAACTTGTTTAATTTAAATGGAACACCCTCTATATTTTACGAGAATCAGATGCACAATTTAATTGTCTATCAAATTATATTAGACCATTTTTTACCTATCTCTTTAAGTTTCCGTAGAAAATGCATTTTCTTGTAATTTAGAACTTATTTATCAATATACCCATGGACTATTGACATTTTAGATTATTTTTAAAGATTACAAGTAATTTTTAAAGAGTACAGATACTAATATTGTCGATATAATTCGTTTATTTCATTAAAAAATAAAAAAAACTATTTAAATATTTGTTAAAGAGGATCAATTAATATGATTCCAGTATTCAAACTACATTAACTGACTGTTTGCGTTGATTAATAATAATTGCTCCAAATACTAAAAAACTGAATTTTGTATGGGCATTAGACAGTGTGATAAAAAGTAACACCTTAAAAATGATATTTCATTTTTTAATAAATGCTTATTTATAACAACAGAGACTTTAATTTGATAACTTATTATTATATTGATTTCTGACTCAAATCCACATTTATTTATAATAATTTATTAACGAACACAATTAAGTATGTAATTAATTAGTATATGGGCGGAAATAATGGTGTTATATTTAATTAATGGTATACTCTTTTATAAAGATTTAAATAGTTTTCTTTTTGCATACAAATGGGCTAGTATATTTAGCAAAACGATAATATTACTAGTCTGTACATTTTGTACATTTGTTGCTTTAAAAACAATCTAAAATGTCAATATTCCATGATAAATGAGGTCTAAATTATAAGAAAATGCATTTTCTACGAAAACTTTAAGGGATAGGTAAAAAATGGTATAATACAATTTGATAGACAATTTAATTGTGCATCTGATTCTCCTAAAATATATAGGGCATTCCATTTAAATTAAAGAAGTTATTGCCGTTTGAAGCTAATAATTATTTAAAATAAATTTTTAGACACTCTGTATAAGGTAGTATTATTTTTATTATTGCAACACAATAACTGATCAATAAATAAACTTCATTAAATATTTAGTATTAAAAACATTGATACCCTTGGAGAAGCTTTAAAATTTTTACTGCAATTTCACAAAATTGAAAATATTTCAAAAACGGTAAGGTTTAAGTATAATAAACCTTAATCAAATTTACCTTTATTTTAATCGTAGAAACTAAAAATGTAATAATATACAGGGTGTTCCATTTAAAAAAATACAACTTTGATATTTTTTATTTATTTGGGACACTCTGTATCTTGTAAAAATATTTTTAAATTGTAGTCTAATAGTCCTTCAACGAACCCCAAACTTACAATTTGTAAAAATATCCTCGTTTAGCCACAATACTCCGTGTCGTATGTGGTGAACAACCCTGTATATTGTTTTTTGCATTTTTGCTTTTACTTACTACTTGTCAAAGATTAGATGTCATGAAATTTAGGTATGTCAATTTGACTTACCTTCTTCAGTAGCGTATTGGATTTTTGTGTTGATAAGTAATTATTATAACATCTCATATTATTAGAATTATATATTTTTATTACAATTTTAATAACTACCAACATTAATTTATTGACAACGTAAAATAAAATAAAATATTATTCTGAGAGAGTCTACCCTACATCATAGTTTTACATTTTTTAAATAAAATTAGAACGGCACTAATAAACCGGAATTTAAGTCTGCCATTTTTGGTCCCCATCGCGGTCAATTTACGAGCCCTAACAACTAAATGTTCGGACAAACAAAAATTTATTAAAAATGTTTATTTTCATTAACTAAATTATTTACATTTAAGAAATACATTAAAAATATATTAAAATCTAACATTTCTAATGATTATTTAAATAGTTTAGTTTGTATAAACATTAAAATAAACTGTAGGCCAGTAAATAAACAAAAAATTGCACAATATCGTGACAACTAAATGTTCGGACACTTTAAAAAATAACTGTTGTAATATGGCGTTACATCGGCATGAACTTTTGCAACCACTGCAAGCCTGTTTGGCATTGTTTTTATTAATGACTGACATACGCCAGAGTAAAAATTTTGCTATAATTGCACTTAATATCATCGTCAAATGGGCAACGGTTTCTTGGGGATCGTGGCACAATTTTTGTTTTGTTTTATGCCACATGTCTCGATAACATTATGGTCCGGACTGTGCGAAGGCGATGAGGGGACCTTGATGTTCATGTCCCTAAACCATTTTTTTTAGTAGTTTCAGCTGTATGGCATGCCCCGCCATCCTGTTGAAATATAAAATTAGTGTCCTTGTCTTTACCAGAACAATTGGTTACAAAGACATTTGTCCTTCCCACTTGACACAAGAATATTTTTCAAAATTTTTTGATTTTTTTTAAGCATCAATTATGCCTTCTACCACCTCATACTTTTCTGGGCCTATATTGGACATACTCCTTCAAATCATAATGCCTTTAGGAAATTTCACTGTCCTTTTGAGGCAATCTTTATCAAATAGACACTCTAGCGGTGTTAATTATATCGATGCTCATGTGCACATGTAATTCGTGCACTTGCCATTTGCGATTGGAATTATTAGTGTCGGATTGGGAAATAATTAAATATTTTACCTTAATGTCATTTTTGTAGTTTGTGACATCAGAAGTTCCAATCCGACGCTGACAATTCTAATCGCATATTGCAAGTTCAACGACTACATCTGCACGCATGCATTATCTTTATGAAAGATGGACAGTGGAATTTCCTAAAGACATTATGCTTTTAGAGTTTATGTCCGCAATGGGTCTAGGAAGGTATGAGGTGCCTTTCTACACAACTAATTTGTCAAAATATCATGAAATTTTGAAAAACAGTTTTGTGCCAAGTGCGAGAGGCCTTTACCAGGATATGAATTTTATATTTCAGCAGGATGGCGGGGCATGCCATATGACTAAAACTACTAAAAAACGGTTTTGGGACATGAACATCAAGGTCACCTCATGACCTTCGCACAGTCCGGACCTTAATGTTATCGAGACATGTGGCATAGAACAAAACAAAAATTGTGCCACGATCCCAAAGAAACCTTTGCCCATTTGACGATGATATTAAGTGAATTATGGCAAAATGTTTACTCTGGCGTATGTCAATCATTAATAAAAACAATGCCAAACAAACATGCAGCGGTTGCAAAAGTTCATGCCGATGTAACGCCATATTAGAACAGTTATTTTTTAAAGTGTCCGAACATTTAGTTATCACGATATTGTGTAATATTTTTGTTTATTTATTGGCCTACAGTTTATTTTAATGTTTATAGAATCTAAACTATTTAAATACTCATTAGAAATGTTAGATTTTAATATATTTTTAATGTAGTTCTTAAATGTAAATAATTCAGTTAATGAAAATAAAGGTTTTTAATAAATTTTTGTTTGTCCGAACATTTAGTTGTTAGGGCTCGTAAGTTTTTTGATATGCTCCTTATCCTTAATCTTTTTATTCAAAGATATCATAGATATTAATTCTGTTGCCATGGTTACCTATTCCTGCTTCATCAACTTATCGATCAATCAACTTCAAATTACGTAGTCTCCATGTAGTATCAGGTGTCAGTTTTGTCAATGTTGAAAATTTAAACAGCATATCTGTTCATTCTTTCGTCTAAAAGTATTAGATTGATAAAAATGCAAGAAAATATAATTCATCAGTCTGCCGACCAACCTTCTGATTTCGAAGACAACGAAAGTTTACAGGAAAAATGTTGGACTGAGGAATACAAAGGGGCAAGTAAAAAATGGCTTATTCGTGATGCTTTTTGGACTGTTAAACAACCCCCTTTGTGTTCTACTATGAAGGAGACTTACATGTACCCCCTTAAAGAGGAGAGCGATAATATTTTGGGTGAGGTTTTTCATTATTTTGTTGAAAAAGTGTAAGGAATTTGACTTTCGTCTTCTGGTCTTCAATTAATTTTTTTTTCTTATTAAAATTAACAAAAGTCTATATTGATTTCTTTATCAGGAAAAAGACGCGCAGCTCTTTTGAAAAAATTTCGAGACGAAGCATTGGCCGAAATAGTGAATGAAAATGAAAAAGCGGAGGAGGAGGATCTAGAGGAAAAGTACTGTACGGAGTACGGCGGTAATTTTAACAGTGAAGGATTTAACCCTGACGATGAGTTCTACAAGAAAATGACAGATGTAAGGGACTAGGAAAGGATTCTGTTCACAGTGTCTCGGTACCTTTGTTCTTTGTTCTATTCCGAATACCTATTTGATTTTTTAGAATAGCTATAATATTAAAAAATCGTTATTTAAAGGAAAAATCTACTTCATCGAAGACGTCGAAACATACCAAATTTATTTCTAATAAATAAAAATTGTTTTAGTTATCGCCAAATTAGTAAAATTTATAATACGGTCCATGGACAGCTTAAAATTAAAATACCAGCAAAAATATGATTATGATTTGGTCATTGTTAAATTCAATGTTACATTTTATTTACAAGAATTTATGTGATTTGGAAAGACCGGCTATTTTTTTCTAAATTGGAATGATCATCTACAAAAGAATTAGTTGAGGAGTATTGGCGGTGTATGATTTGTGTTTACTATTAATTACTCAATCATTCTCGTGGCCTCGGTCATACCACATACAACAATAATAATTCAAAAAATAATCGAAATATTTGTAACTCAAGAAAACTACAATAAAAAAAATCAAAGGGTATAGCCGGATTAATATATGGAATCTGCTCCCGCGGCTTTTGTAACTCGCTCTCAGGGGATCGATTTGGTCTGGAATCAAAATAATTCACCTAAATTTTTAGCTCTTTAACTCAAACGGTATTCGAGATTTTCAAAAAAAACTGTTTTTTCAATTTTATTTTTATTTTTATAGTAAAATTCAAAATTAATTAATGATATTTTTTTCTAATTCTTGGAAGTCTAAGACATGAAAAAATAATATGATCATGATTCTTAAACAAAAAGCCCATTTTTAGCGGATTAAAGAAAATTAAAATCTTCATTTTTTTAACCTTTATGAAATATTGTCTTTGTCACTTACTAAAAATCGTCAGAAAATGTCTTTTATACTTCTTTACACTCAGGAATTTGTTATAATTTTTTGAAGTGGTGGAACAATATGAAAAAAATTAAAAACTCATTTTTTTTTCTAAAATATTTTTTTCTAAAATGTTCTCGGGCTCATTTTTTATAATAATTTTTATGTTTATTTCTGACAAGGATGTATTTTTAACGAAAAAATATTTTCTACTCACTTTTTAAACTAAACAAAAATGAGTTTTTAATTTTTTTCATATTTTTCCACCACTTCAAAAAATTCCTAAGTGTAAAGAAGTATAAAAGACATTTTCTGACTTTTTTAGTGAGTGATATATTTCACAAAGGTTAAAAAAAATGAAGATTTTAATTTTCTTTTCTCCGCTAGAAATCGGCTTTTGTTTAAGAATCATGATCATATTATTTTTTCATGTCTTAGACTTCTAAAAATTAGAAAAAAAATCATCATTAATTAATTTTGAATTTTACTATAAAAATAAAATTAAAAAAAAGTTTTTGTTGAAAATCTCACAAGACACGAAACCCCTGAGTGCGAGTTAAAAAAGGCGCGGAGGCAGATTACCCATATTAATCCGGCTATACCATAGACTTAAAATAAAATATAGACTGAGCATCTCATTCATAAATAGCTGGAACATGCGGTCAGACAATGTCTTGTTATTGTTGTGATGTTGTTGTGTTATTGTTTTAGGTTATAACGAGTGCGACACGAGCGATAGATAGGTTGTCTCTGTCATAACGGTCGTTCCCTGACGACTCTGCCGAGAAACACAACACTGTCTTTCGTTTCTCAAGTACACCTGAACTCTCCGTATCATAGCCGGATAAATTTTTTATTTTAATGAAGCTATAATTAAATTAAAAATATATCGTATTTAAACTTTGTTATATTTTATTAAGATTTATGACAGGTTTTTTAAATAAAAGTTTAGAAAAAAACGTCTTAGAGCCCTTAGAAAAGGATAAAAATAATAAAATACACGTTATAGAAGAAATTTTATAATCGAAATTAGGTAATTTTTGAAATTAATAATAAATTATTAATTTTAGTCAAACATTTACAACCCCTAATATTAATCAAAACAGAATCTATTCCACAGATATAATAGAATCGGCGACAGCGAGAGAAAAAAAAATATGATTGTTGTAGTTTTTTATCTGGTTAAGTGATGTCTTATTATGTAAATTAGAGATAACATAAATTTGTTCCATTAAAGCAAGGAAGGTGATAGGAAGTGGATAAAATAAAAACTACATTTATTTAACTCGGTACTGTCTTTATTATACCGGGTGTGTCCCAAAAGTGGCTCATCCCCATAATTTTTTTATATTTTCAAATAAAAAAAACAAGATTTAGTATGTTAGTATATGACATAAATTAGGATTGATTGACGCATTCAATTGTTTTTGGTCACTTCCTGTTTTACCGGAAATGACTCTAACGTTTAATTTTTAAACGGCACCCTCGGTATATTTCTACTTTATTCGATAGAAAATGACACTCTGAATAGAATGACATATCATATGTCAACTTTTGACATTTCGCATATGGTTTAATTGTGTAATTGTAACAAGCGGTTCATAACGACAATTTGACTCGAAATACCAAGTATGTGGTATCAATATATTCATAAAAAAATGCTTTTTCCAAATATGCTAATGAGTCACCCTTGTTCCATTTGAAAAAATTGACGTATGTATGATTAAAAATACGATTTGTACATCTTTTAACCGGCCTAGACAAGACACGAAACCCATTAGACGATCACAACTATTTTTCCAAGGCTCCTTGATTAAAACTTAGTGTTTTTAACAACACCATGGTACCCTAGATTGAAATTTAAAAGTTGACATATGATATGTCATTCTATTCAGAGTGTCATTTTTTATCGAATAAAGTAGCAATATACCGAGGGTGCCTTTAAAAATCAAAAGATGTCATCATTTCGGTGAAACAGGAAGAGACCAAAAACAATTGAATACGTCAATAAATTCTAATTTATGTCATATATACCTACTAACATACAAATCTGTTTTTTTATCTAAAAAAATAAAAAAATTATAGGGGTGAGACACTTTTGAGACGACCCGGTATATTAAAAAATATTGTTTTATAATGTAATATCATTTTAAAATTCTTGTATGTTATTTTAGATTCTGAAGATAATTTTAGAATAAACCGGAATATATTTTTAATAAAAACATTATTAATTATTAACAGGGTTATAATTATGATTTTGTTACAATGTAAGTAAGTAAATAATGTAAGAGAAAAAATTCAGATTTTACATTTTACTAAAATATCTAAATAATCGCCTTTTTACAACAACGCCACTGACTCCTAATGGGTAAATTGAGAGTTGCCTACCGGTCGAAAGTCGTTTCAAGACTTAAATGCATTATTTAAGTCAAATTTCTTGTAAATTTGGCACTGGCGAACCATATTTTATAGTTCTTGAACAGAAAAAGTCAATAAAATAAACATTTAAGGACTACAAGCTAAGAAAATGCGTTAATACAGCCGGGGAGATAGCGGCAACAAAGCTTTACCGCACACGTGCGACACGTACTACAAGGTAATAAATGAATGAATAGGCTCTCGCCTCTAATCGGTGTTGTCATATTGTAAAGAACTTATCCTTTTAAACAGTATCCGACTTATAATTTAGTAGTATAAGGACTATTTAATACATCTATGGAATATTAAAACCTACTTTATTAAACTGTAGTATTAATATCTCAATATAATAACAAAGAAAAAAATATTGATAATATTAAAGACGTGACAACATAGGCTGGATGAGGAAGGCTCGGTCGACTGTACCCAGAAGTTAACATGTGTACAAAAAAGCTTCTTTGACCGCGTTGAGATGTAAATAGTGTAGTCTATATTTTATTTTAAGTCTATGGGCTATACCCTTTCTTGCTTTGTATACATCGGAGGTATTTCATTAGAAAAAGGTTATTGAGACACCCAATTTAGTGTGACTTTGTGTATTTTTGTATTAGTTTTTAGTGAGGATATGTCTATAGTTCATATCAAAAAAACTTTTAGTCACGTGATTAAGCTTGACCGGCACAGCGTTGCCCACGTTTTCATATTTTCTTTTAATCAAAATATTTTAGGAAACAAAAATACATTAATTATAAATATACAGGGTTGTTCACCACATACGACACGGAGTATTGTAGCTAAACGATTAGATTTTTACAAATTGTAAGTTTTGGGTTCGTTGCAGGACTATTAGAGCTACAATTTCAAAATATTTTTACAAGATACAGAGTGTCCGAAATAAATAAAAATATCAAAGTTGTATTTTTTAAATGGAACACCCTGTATATTATTACATTTTTAGTTTCTACGATTAAAATAAAGGTAAATTTAATTAAGGTTTATCACACTGAAACGTTACCGTTTTTGAAATATTTTCAATTTTGTGAAATTGCAGTCAAAATTTTAAGGCTTCATTTCTCCAAGGGTATCAAAGTTTTTAATACTAAATATTTACTGAAGTCTATTTATTGATCAGTTATTGAGTTGTAATAATAACAATAATACTACCTCATAGAGAGTGTCTAAAACATTATTTTAAATTATTTTTAGCTTTAAACGGCAATAACTTGTTTAATTTAAATGGAATGCCCTGTATATTTTAGGAGAAACAGATGCACAATTTAATTGTCTATCAAATTGTATTATACCATTTTTTACCTATCATCTCATTTATTAATATACCTATGAAATATTGACATCTTACATTGTTTTTAAAGCAACAAAGGTACAAAATGTACAGGCTAGTAATATTATCGTTTTTAGCAAAATGATAATATTACTAGCACATTTGTATGCAAAAAGAAAACTATTTAAATCTTTATAAAAGAGTATACCATTAATTAAATATACCACCATTATTTCCGCCCAAATACTAATTAATTACATACTTAATTATGTTCGTTAAGAAATTATTCTAAATAAATGTGGATTTGAATCAGAAATCAATATAATAATAAGTTATGAATATGAATATGTCTGTTGTTATAAATAAGCATTTGTCAAAAAATGAAATATCATTTTTAAGGTGTTACTTTTTACCACTACTACTACTGCCATTACTCGCTGACGAGTATTTGACACGCATCAGAAGATGGTCACGCAAGGCGTTTTCTTTCATGAGCCTTTCTGTGACTGAAAAGCCCAATACGTGATGTTATTTGTCTACCGCACTCCGGACATTCAAAAATCTCATTGCTTTGTTGCCTCTTAACTTTTTGGTTCTCGCTGTTAACTGAGTTTACAATTCTTCTCCATTGAGTTCTATTGTGAGCTGCTACTTCCACTCATTCTGCACATTAATCCCCTAAGTTTTCGTTGAAAATGTCCTTGTACCTTTTGAGTTGTCCACCTGGCCTCCTCTTACCGTCTACAAGCTCACCGTAAAGCAGTGATTTTGGTATGCGGTTTTCTTGCATTCTGCATACGTGACCAGCCCATCTTAATCGGGATTTTGTAACCATGACTTCAATACTCTCGCAGTTAGCTTTTTCAAGAACCGATACGTTTGAGACGTAATGGAACCATTTAATTCTTAAGAGTTGTCTAAGGTGTCTCTGTTGCAACTTGTTACTTTGTGTTACTTTTTACCACACTGGCTAATACACATACAAAATTTAGTTATTTAGTGTTTGGAGTAATTATTATTAATCAACGCAAACAGTCAATTAATGTAGTTTGAATACTGGAATCATATTAATTGGTCCTCTTTAACAAATATTTAAACAGTTTCTTTTTAATTTTTAATGAAATAAACAAACTATATCAACAATATTAGTATCTGTACTCTTTAAAAATTTGGTACATCTTTAAAAATAATCTAAAATGTCAGTATTCCATGGGTATATTGATAAATGAGTTTTAAATTACAAGAAAATGCATTTTCTACCGAAACTTGAAGAGATAGGTAAAAAATGGTATAATACAATTTGATAGACAATTAAATTGTGCATCTAATTCTCATAAAATAAACAGGGTGTTCCATTTAAATTAAACAAGTTATTGCCGTTTAAAGATATTAACTATTTAAAATAAAATTTTGGATACTCTGTATAAGGTAGTACAATTTTTATTATTGCAGCACAATAACTGATCGATAAATAAACTTCAGTAAATATTTAGTAATAAAAACTTTGATACCCTGGGAGAAATGAAGCCTTAAAATTTTCACTGCAATTTCACAAAATTGAAAATATTTCAGAAACGGCAAGGTTTAAGTGTAATAAACCTTTATCAAATTTACCTTTATTTTAATCGTAGAAACTAAAAATGTAATAATATACAGGGTGTTCCATGTAAAAAATAAAACTTTGATATTTTTTATTTATTTGGGACACTCTGTATCTTGTAAAAATATTTTTAAATTGTAGCTCTAATAATCCTTCAACGAACCCAAAACTTACAATTTGTAAAAATCTAATCGTTTAGCTACAATACTCCGTGTCGTATGTGGTGAACAACCCTGTATAAACAGTTATATTTACATTAACAAAACTCACCTCCTTAACGGCACTTAAGGGACATAAAGAGCCATTACTACCGCTTTCCTGTTCAAAATATTCTAATAAGGTTGCGATCCTTTTTTGCATCGGCTATTAAGCTATCTTGTACACTTCGCATTAAAAGAGGTTCTAAAAAGAACAATGTTCGACTGCAAAGTCTGTTAGTAAACATTTTTAAGCTTAAAGTATCACAACACAATTAACTTGAACCCAAAACTCGAAATACAAAACTAAAGTGTCAAAACGAATGACACTGTCAGGAAAACAAATAAATGTGGCAACTTGACATTTTTAGAGCATTAATCCCCCGCGGGAGATTTAAATTCCAGTTAGTTAGCCCGGCGCCGAATATGGGGAATATAATAATTACATGGTTGGCAACAATGAATTTAAAAATCGCGCCCTCAATTATGTAACTAAAAGTTTAATTGGTATCACTTATAGGCATACAAGATTATTAATAAAATATTTTTTTTTGAAGCTTTACCAAAAATACCCCTTGTACTCTTCAACGCCTATGTCGCTCTATAGTTTCACTCTGCAGAAGGATCGAAGCAAAATATTACCGGGTGTGACAAAACCATCTACCGGAACAAAAATTTTCAATAAAAATTCGAATTTCACCAAACCGTTGGGTGATAAATTAGACAACGTCGAAATATAATCTTATAATTTTTATGTGTCAGGTATATTTTATATATATTTTTTCATATTAAATTGATATTTGTGCAGTGCATTTTTGTTTTGTTATTTAAACAGTAAAATACAGTTTTGTCTTAGTACGTAGGAAGTGAATATACAGGGTGGTCTGAATTGTATTCGGGAAACTTCGGCAGCATATTCTGCAGATAAAAATAAGTAAAAAGCTCGTATAAATGTATATCCTAAATGTAAAAATGTAAATCGTTACGGAGATACAGGGTGTAGAAGTTTCATTTTTATTTCAATTTACCAGTAGTTTAATACAGGAACGGATGAAAAGTTAAAAGTTATTACTCCTCAAAACAGTTAACAAACATTTATGTTGCTCCCCCTACCAGTAGAAGCCATATTAACATCAAAATCAAACTTCTCATGTCAAAAATCTCCCAGATCAGTTTTCATCCAAATATGGACGTAAATTCAGAAATTATTAAAAAAAACAAATAAAAATGAAAATTGTACACGTACACCCTGTATTTCCAACAACGAAGCATTTTAGGACATGGTTTTATACGAACGTATTTTTATTTGCAGAATATGCTCTGCCGCGGTTTCCCAATTACAATACGGACCACTCTGTATAATACTGTTTTTGCTTGAAATGATGAAATCTTTTTTAAATTTGCACTTTTTCTAAATGATATTTATACGCAAACTTTAAATATTTTGTATTGCTTGGATCAGATATGATTAACATGAATTTTAGTGTGAGAAACACAAGTTTTGTGCATGATTTTTCTTTATTGATATTTAATATTATTTCAACCCCAGAAACACGTCTATGAGTCATTCCACGAAAAAATTTTTTTTGAAAATTTCGATTTTTTGAAAAAATTTTTGGATTTCTTTTAGGTTTTAGTTAAAATACATAATTTCTAAATAATATGGCAACATAGGTAGTAGACTAAATTTATAAGAAAGAAAACTTAGAAAAGATGGATCAGAAAAGATGCAACAGTGTTTTTCAAAATTTAGGAAAAAATCATTATTTTTAAAATTTTCAAGGTAATATAACTCGAAGCTCTAAGGTTATTTTGGACTTATTTTGAAAAACCATAAACAAAAAATATGTTTCTTTTATCGAGATATACCAGCCGTGAAAATAATTGCATTTATTTAGGCCCACCCTGTGTATTTACAAAGAAATCACATTCTCTATTTAGAGATTTTATTCTTGTTAAGAAGCTTTTTACTGTTAAATTTGAATTTGTACTAAAAAAATGTATTACAAACTTGAAATTATTACTACGGTGTATTTTTCGACAAGATAATTCTAATATTATTGAAAACAGAATTTTAGTTAGGTATGTTATATTATTAGCTTCATATTTAAAATAGATAAATTCCTCCTATAAAATTTAGTCCTCAATTATTAACAATAAACTGAGTTGAAAGTGCTATTTTGATACCGCCATGTCACGCATTGGTTTAATAGAATAAATATACTTAAGGACGGATATTAAAAAATTATAGCATATTGTTATTTACAACGAACTAAGCATGTCCATTTTCAGAAAAAGTTATCGATATACTGGGTTTCTTTATTTTTTCTCTCCTTCATTATTCATAGTCCAGATTCAATACTGAAAATAACAAAATGTGTGGCCCTATTATAGTGCAGTAAAACTGCACAGACGTCCTCTGTAATCACCTAATCCTAAAACTATAAAGGAAGGGGTATAGCTCAAAAGGAATAATATAGTGCGAATTACACCAGATCTCTTGATGTCATATATGGCTGTCAAGTGCTATTTGAACAAGCTCAACTTGTATCATGAAAGTCTTTAGTGCAGACTCTACCATAAATATCCTGAAACAGCAGAGCACATAATAGTGAGGTTTATAGCGAGGTTCTAGATCGCCAACGAATTTCTCTTTGGCAAGGCAACGCTAGAATCGGAGGAATTAAGATTGATTCTCACTATACCTTCCGTATCGGCTACCTTCCGTTTCCCTTCCGTTTACATAAAATATTATATCATGTAATTGAATGAGACAATGCACACTATTCGTTCCGTTTCCCTTCCGTTCCATATGCTTTTCCCCATACATTTTTAGGGCGGACGGACTAAAGCGTATCGGAAACAGCGTTGTAAAGCTCTTACATTTGTACCAGCTTTGAAAAAGGTAATAAATTTAATTAAGAGAATTTAAGATTTAATGTAAGAGCTTTACAACGCTGTTTCCGATACGCTTTAGTCCGTCCGCCCTAAAAATGTATGGGGAAAAGCATATGGAACGGAAGGGAAACGGAACGAATAGTGTGCATTGTCTCATTCAATTACATGATATAATATTTCGGGTCAGAACGTCCTACGGCGTTGTCCGATGCCTAACTTCCACCCTGTGCGATTTTCCCATTGATCTTCGGTCAGATTTTTCTCGCTCATCGACCTTCTTATTCCTTCCATCCATGTTTTCTTGGGACGTCCTCTCTTTCGTTTACCAGGTGGTATCCAATGAATTAGTTGTTTTGGAATTCTTTCATTGTGCAATCTCTGAACGTGGCCGTACCATATTAATTGTTTTTGTTCTATATCATTTACTATTGTTCCCTCTATTCCCATCTGTTGTCTAATGTCTTCATTTCTGATCTTATCCCTCCGTGAAATTCTCATTGCTCTTCTAATCGCGTCCATTTCTGTTGTCTCTAATTTCCTTTTATTCCTTTCAGTGAGTCGCCATGTTTCACATCCATAGAGTAATATGCTTCTAACTAGTGTCTCGTATATATTATTGTTGCGGGCCGGTGTGGACTCGACCTAACCTCACAATATGGCCCGCCCTCGGATTTTAAATAAATTGTGACTTTCTATCCACACGGAACCGACGAAAAACGTAACTTTATATTTCCTGTTTTTTGTAATTTCAGTGCTCCATAGAATGCCATTTATGCATCTGATAACTCTTCGTGCCTGTATTACTCTGTTGTTTATTTCTCTAACGTCCGATCCATCTCGTGTAAATATCGATCCCAGGTATCTGTAATCTTCACATGCCCTAATTTCCATATTATTGTCTAAAATAAGATATTTACTGTGAGACCCCATTTAGCATATTCTTCAATTATTTTCCGCACTATATATTCCATGTCATCTTTGTCGTTTGCAATTATGGCCTAGTCGTCTGCAAATTGCAAGGTGTATAGGCATATGTCATTTAGTTCTATACCCATTCCGTTACATTTTCTTTTCCATAGATGTAAGGCCTTGGCCTGATATCTATCAAAAGATACAAATATTTAAAATAAAACTTTCGTAATGATAAAAATTGTACAAATTAAAAAGTATGGAACCGATACGGAACGGAAGCGTCAATGCAATAAAAAATACGGAACGGATATGGAATGGATATGGAATGGAAACGGAAGGTATGGTTTGGTTTGGGAACTGAATGCAGATATAGAAAGGGGACATACATAATAGGAAGGCAAAAAAGCGAGCAAAAAAACGACTACGCTCTAACAGCGCTTTATGAAGCGACTTTGAGCAAGCACCATGAGTTTATATGAACAATTTCACATGGGTCGCGTATGCTCCGTCAGGATGATTTCGTCCGACGCGCGACGGCTATCTTGAAAAAACACGACGGACGGTCTCTCGCGGACGCTCCGCTCCATCCGAAAGAGCTGTGATGCTGGAAGTATACATACTCGCCGAGGCGACCCGAGGCGCCACAAAAAATTAGCGGTATACACGCGGCTATTGATCAGAATCGTCCATTTTTGTCGCGCCTCGGGTCGCCTCGGCGAGTGTGTACTTCCACCATAAGAAAATACACATCTCCACCCCCACTACCCCCTTCCTATTCTACATTTGCGGAAATAGTGTGTGGAAACTAAATTAAAATATTGTTAAAATATTTAATACGGTTTCATAATAAATACGCATTGTTTATTCGTCCGTTGTGTCATTCATTTTCTCTTTCCTCTTCTCTCAAACATTGTTTGCCAGTGGGGTATGATTCTTCAGTATCGAATTTTCGATATCGATAATTTTGTACATCCTCACCATACACGCGTACATGACTAGACGAATATTATACGTTTTGCGCTGTTCTGGTCTAATGTTATTCATTTATAAACAATGTTTTGATAAATATCTTCGTGTTATGTTCGTCCACACGAATTACATAATTGACTACTATTTTAAAGAGAAAAAACGACAAGGTCGATCGCTCGTCATCCAGTTGACGCGAAATCGACTCTGACTTCACTTGCGATGCGTTTGTTCATATTTTCGATTATTCTATCGATTTTCGTGCAATGTTCCCTTTCTGCTCGGATTTTAGGCGTGTTTCCTTTGGCCGGGAAAAGTGTAAACATTCTGACAGATCGCCTGATGAAGGGCTTAGCTGATGCGGGACACGACGTTACTGTGATTAGTGCATATAAAAATAAACTACCTCTGAAAAACGGCAGTATTACTAATGTAGTGTTGACTGGGTTTGCAGAAGAATATGAAAGTAAGTAAAGTCCTTGATTATAAATACACTGTTTTACACTTTCAATTTATAAAATATTTTTGCGGGGGTGTAATTTTACTGTATTTTGATTTGAATTATAGGTAGGTGTTCCTTGTTAGTTTAGGTTTTTTTCACTTAAATTTTTTCACTTTTTTCACTTATATTTTAAAAACCCTTATTTCCATTCGAATGAGACTTTGGGTGACTATGTTTTGCTAAGTGCTTCAACACTTACCTTTCACAAAAATCAAGAAAAAGTACGGGAAGGGTGAAAACTATCCCCAACACTATATAAATTTTAGTATAAATATTTTAATAGCTAACTCCACGGACGACAGGTTTTCTTTTCGCAAAATGGTTCCTCTAAAATTTACTAAATTTTTGGTCTCTTATAAAAAAAAAGCCACATCCCAATTTTTCAGTAATTTTTTTTAACGAAATAATGGCTCAAAAATATATCAAACGGGAAGATTAAAATGAAAAATTCATATAAGACTTGTTCTGAAGACCGTTCGATTTCCTACTTCCTAATATGTATTCATTTTTACAAAATGCTGATTTGTTAGAACTTAGAACTCAATAAAATTCTAAAGTAAAAAACATTGTTTCTCCGTGTTATTTAAATGGAATGGCACCTCTTAATATTAATATTAAAAACTTTACCAGATTTTTTTTTCATCATCCTGAACGATAATTTCAGGGTATTTAAAAAGAAAAAAAAATTGCACCCTATTGTAGATGTATGCATGTGACATTGTAGCATAGGGTAATAAGTTAATGTTCATTCAGAACCTCGATATTAGTGAAATAAAAATTGGTGGTTACAATTATTACACTTTAAGCTTCATTCACAACCTCTCAATTAGTGGAATAAATTAATGGTTTCAGTTAAGCTTCATTCAGAACCTCGCAGTTAGTAGAATAACTTAGTGGTCTCAAGTACACTTTATATTTTTTAGTTTACGATCATTCCACAAAACATCCCCCTTTAGAACTTTTTCTTTAATGGCCATAAGCGGGAGTAAAAGACCAACCGCCCGAACAAACACTAGAGGCGCCACCAGTCATCAAATGGTGTAAAATTGCGAAAATTTAATCATCGAATTTTGACACAGGGGGTCGCGCTTAACATTTTTAATTTTAATTCAATATTCATTGTTTTCAAACTATATTATTAGACTTTGTTGTATTTTGTCAATGTATAAATGTTTTATTAGCATAAAATTGCAATATATTAATTTAAATTATATTACATCTTATATTACATACATATTTAAAATTCAAATATTATGACATATACATATGTCAGTTGCCGTCTAAAATGTCATCTTGATAACAAAAAGTTTGTTATTGTCAGAAATAGTTAAAATCATGTTAAAATATTAAAATTTACAAGTTATAATTAGATATTTTATATTATTTCAAAAACAAAAACATAATGGTACCGCGTAATGTTGATGGTCCGAAATAAAAAGTGCCGTTATATTTTTCAGTTTTCGTTGTCAGCCGCGGAAGTTTCAGTGATTTTCGTGTTGTCGGATATTCTTATTTGTGAAATAGAAATATTGCGTTTGGATTGCAAAAAAAGTGGAAGTTTTATTGCAATGTAAGTAAGCGTTTGTCCATTTTATATTTTACTTTTTTCATATCTACGACAAATATACATACCTATATTGAAATTTTATAATTCGTTTTATTTAAAAAAAATTAGAAAACAAGCTTGCAATCCTGTAATTGACATAATTGTAATATATTTCATTTAAATGTAATATTAAAAAAATGTAAATTTAAAAAATATACTAAAAATACCGGGTGCGTCTCAAAAGTGGCTCACCCCTATAACTTTTTTATTTTTTCAGATAAAAAAACGAAATTTGGTATGTTAGTATATAACATAAATTAGAACTGATTGACATATTTAATTGTCTTCGGTCTCTTCCGGTTTCACCGGAAATGACTACAACTTTTGATTTTTAAATGGCACACTGGATATTTTTTTACTTTATTCGATAGAAAATGACACTCTGAATAGAATGACATATTATATGTCACCTTTTGACATTTTTGCATATGGTTTATTTGAAATTGTAACCTGCGATTCATAACGACAATTTGACTCGAAATGCCAAGTGTGTGGTTGTGGTTGTCAAATTATTCGCAAAAAAATGCCAAAAAATTTTTCCAAATATGCTAATGAGCCGCCCTCGTTCCATTTGAAAAAATTGAGATATGTTTAAAAATACAATTTGGGCATCTTTTAACCGGCCAGGACAAGATATTAAAAACATTAGACGATCAAATCTATTTTTCCAAGGATCCTTGATTAAAAATTAGTGTTTTTAACACAGCCATGGCACTCTAGATTGAAATTTAAAATTCGATTTGTTTTTGAGCGAATATGCCCAAGCAGCATTTGGACGTCGGGACAACGTTGTGTCACGCGACCAAACGTCGGGGCGCAACGTCGGCACAACCTCGTGCCAACCCTAGTCTGCACTAGTTTGGAGAATAATTTTTGGGTCGAAACGACGTTGGATACCGACGTTGGCTAGAAGTCTAATTTAGTACAAACTGCAACGTTGTTTAAAATCCTAATTTACAGAAATACAAAACTAATATGGCGTCTAAGTCGCGTTTTATCATAACTTGGGATAATTATAGTAAAAATATTATTTTTATGATTTAGTTAGAGACATATGTCAGATGACAGTGAAGGGAAACAAAAAAAAATATTTAAGTGTGGAGGATGTTTGAAGATCATAATTATTGAAACACCTTAACCGACTCTGTAACTCGTTACCCAAGGCAAAAAAGTTAAACGCAAACAACTTTATTGATAAATGTATTGTTTCTACTTTGAAAAATACTAATGGGCCTTAAAATTAAAGAAGTTTTAAAAATTTTCTTGAATTTTTTTTTTAGTAAAATGAGAATAATTTATTCGCAGTCGAAAAAATTGTTTCCGCGTGTTTTTTAGGGACAAATATTTCAAGTTAATGTATTCAAAAAGCAGGAATTGCTATTTTAGGAACGAAACATTTTCTTATTTAACAACATGGCGGCTTTCGCTTTGTTGTTTTGGAGATTAAGATGGAGTAGTTCGAGTAGTCGCATACTGGACTAATAAAGTCGCAGTTCGGCCTTAACAGGTAGTATACTAGTCGCAAAATTGCCTAATTTAGTCATCCTAGAGTTTAGCTTTGTGCCGCCCTCTATAATCTAAATAAACGAGGGAGTGGATAAACTATCGGTAATATATGTCGATGTATATTTAAATTTAGTTTTATATGTACCTTTCTTATGTCCCATTTTAATTAAGTTTTTTTATAAAAACAAAAACAGCACTGAACTGACTGAACAGAACAATGAAGTGAAAATTTAAGATTTAAGGTTATGGTTCAATACAGTTGCAAAAAGGTAGTGACTCGACGTCGTACCAACGTAAGAATAAGGAAATCTAAACAACGTTGGAATTAGTAAAACAGACGACGTTTGCATAACGTTGGAATAGGTCCTGAAACTGACGTCGGAAAACTCTATATTGTCCAACGTTGTAACTACGTGATTCGGACAGAATCACCTACAGATCACTTACAAGACACAAAGGTTACAAGACAACGTTTATTCGACGTCGCAGAAGCTTCTACTTTGCTGTAGTACTAGTCCAACGTCGGCACAACGTTATAAAAACGTTTAAATTTATTTTAATACCAAAGGTAGGGAGCTAACTATTTTTTGTAACTAATCCAACGTTGTGTTTAGTAAACATGTGGTCGCAAGTCGTGAAAATGCTACTTGGGTGTCAAAAGTTGACATATGATATATCATTCGATTCAGAGTGTCATTTTATATAATACCGAGAGTGTCATTTAAAAATCAAAAGTTGTAGTCATTTCCGGTGAAACAGGAAGTGACTAAAAACAATTGAATACGTCAATCAATCCTAATTTATGTCATATACTAACATACCAAATCTCGTTTTTTTATCGTAAGAAATAAAAAAGTTATAGGTGTGAGCCACTTTTGGGACGCACCCGGTATATACAGGCATTAAACGAAATTTTTTGTGTGCGAACAAACACGAGAGGTGCTTTATTATTTACTTTCATTTCTTAACATGATAGACGAAGTTCTAAAGGGGGATGTTTTGTGGATCATTTACAATGTCTAAAAAACACAATTAAAATTAATAGAATATCCTAGCAACAGCTTGCGTTAGTCAGTTGTATACATAGAGAAAGCCTAATATTTAGCTTATAAAACAATCAACTTTTGATTTCTAACCACAATTTCTCTTGACGGAAGATAATCAAACGCCAAAATGACTGATGATAAATAGTGGAAAAGTTAAAAGTTTGATAACTTTTTCTACTAATTGAAAATGTCTACCACTAATTTTGACGTTCTGAATGCTTACATTGAAATTAAAGGAACAAACTTCTACGCCAATTGAAACCACTAATTTGTTTCACTAATTGCGAGGTTCTGAATGAAGCTTAAGTTTATTAGGTACTTTTTTCTACAAATTGAAAATTATTACCACGAATTTTGACATTTTGAATTCTTACATTAAAGTTACGGAACAAACTTCTATGCTAATTGAAACCACTCATTTATTCCACTAATTGGAGATTCTGAATGAAGCTTAAATATCTATTTTTTAGGTCTCTTAAACCATGAAAACTTACTGGACGTACCGGAATACTACGCTATTTCAAGCGTAACCCAGTACCTATACATGTTCGAGCACATATGGAACGACACATTCCACCATCCAAACGTACAAAAACTCTTGAATTCCAAGCAACACTTCGACTTGGTCATCACCGAACACTTTTGGAACGACTGCCTGAAAGTGTTCGCCCATATCTACAACTGCCCCTTGGTGATATTCACCAGCATGGGTGGAGTAAACCCCTGGGTAAACGATCAAGTAGGCAACACATTGTTACCTTCTTACGTCAAACATTTTTTTATGTTGGGTGATTTTTCCGAAGGCATGAATTTTTTTGAACGCACCCATAATTTAGGGTTCTTTTTATACGATTATATATTCAAGCATTATTATTTGTTTCCAAGAAACAATGCTATTTTAAAAGGTGCGTTCCGAAATCCTCCCGATGTGGCTGATCTCTATGACAATGTTTCGCTGGTTCTTCTTGGTTCGCATGCAAGTCTACGTCCCGCCGCACCTTTGTCACCTAACATGGTCGAAATCGGCGGATTTCATATCGATCCACCAAAAAAACTACCAAAAGATTTACAGGAGATCATGGACAATGCTAAAAACGGCGTGATATTCTTCAGTATGGGCTCTCACGTGAAGAGCAAGGATTTTTCTGATGAGAAAAAGAAGATATTTTTGAACGTGTTTGCCAGGTTGAAGGAGACGATTTTGTGGAAGTTTGAGGATGAAACGTTGCCTGGGAAGCCTGAAAATGTGTTTGTAAGAAAATGGGTACCACAGATGGATTTATTAGGTACTTTTTTATAAAATAAATTGGTTTTTATGCAACTAATTGGGATACAGACTATTTTGTGTAACGAAGTTTGAGATTTTTTTATTTTAAGTAGGTGAAATTCATAAATATATTTGCACACCCTGTAGCATCTAAAATATCTTTACATGTATGTCTTTTTCTTCATCTCTAGTAAACCCTCCTACCAAATTTTAGTAGTTCAACTTCAGAAACAATAACACCACTGACAATTTTTTACCACATTGAAATCTAATATTTGCTTAAATAACTTGAAATGTTTTAAAACTATTAATTTTAGGTAAATATCATTATACAGGGTGGTCAGAACTGTATTGCGAAAACTTCGACAGTATATTCTGGAGATAAAAAAAATAAGTTAAAAAGTTCCTATAAATTATGTCCTAAAATGCTTGTCCTTGTTTCGAAGATTTTTTTTCAAATAATTTCTGATTTCTAGATGAAAATTGATCTCTGAGAGTTTTTAACATGGAAAATTTGACTTTCATGTCAATATGACTCCTACTTGTAGAGGGCGCCACCAATATATAACTGGTTTGAAGACTAATAACTTTCCGTCCGTACCTGTATAAAACTACTGTAAAAAATATTCATTTACGACATTTCTTACGTAAAAAAGATCTCTTGGTAATAATCGCTACGGGTAATGGTTCTCCAGCTATTTGGAATCGAAATTATCAATAACTGTCATCATTGACATAAATTAAACATGTTGACTAAATAGTTATTAGTCTGAAATCATAAATTTGAAATGTCTTTGTGTCAAAAGTTCAATCATTTTTTTGTAGAATTAATCATAAATTGGATTAATTTAAAAAAAAGTTCACAAATTTATCATATCAGTCAAATAACTATATATTCAACACGTTTATTTTTTTGTCAATAATGATGTATGTATTGACTATTTTTTTTTATAAATTATTTGAAAAAAATCGAAATAAAAATGAAACTTCTATCCCTGTATCTCCCAAACGAAGCCTTTTAGGACATAATTTTTTTAATTAATTTTATCTGCAGAATATGCTATCGAAGAATACTACAGAATATGCTTTCCGCACCATCCAAAAAAAAACGTGTTATATCAGCCACACATTTTTGAAACACTCTAATAATTTTAAAATGTCTATCTTAAACTTCCCTATAACTTTTACATATATTTTTTTTGTAAACCTCGAAACAAATGATAGAATAGACTTTATCATTGACTCACCCTGCACAAATAAAGCCGAATATTTTTCTTATTTAACTATTTTTTAGGTCATCCCAATATAAAACTGTTCATTACTCACGGAGGGTATGGTAGTCTTCAAGAAACCATCTACCACGGTGTCCCAGTATTGGCAATTCCAGTATTCGCTGATCAGTACAACAACGCTTTCCAAGCAGCTCAACTAGGATACGCCATAAAACTGTCTTACAACGACAAAAATTTCAGTGAAGAAACCGTATTTAACTTGATCAAAGAATTGTTGGATAACCCAAAATACCGGGAAAATGCCCAGGCAAGGTCCAGGGTCTTCCACGACCGACCTATGAAACCTCTGGATACGGCAGTTTATTGGTTAGAGTACGTAATAAGAAATAAAGGTGCAACTCATTTGAGATTAGCCTCAACTAAACTACCTTGGTATAAGTTATACTGTGTAGATGTTTTTGCTGTATTTTTTGTGATATTAGCTGTTTTTTATAAATTAATTTGTATTGTACTAGGCAAAATATTTGCTGGTCAAGAGGAGAAGAAAAAAATGAAGAAAAACTAGCTGTTTAGATTTTTTTATAAATTTATTTAAAAATTTTAGTTATAGAATTTTATCAAGTTTTTTTCTCGAATTTATATAATAAAATGAGATTTTATTTTTAATAAAACTTTTTAAATAAATTTAGTGTCTTTATTTTTATCTGTTTAATAACTAAATTTAATCTTTTATTTCTATTTGGTGAACAAATAAAAACCATCTTAATAGATTACAGCATTAAACTGTGAAAACAACACTTTAAAAATTAACTGCAGGTGAATGACATACAATGTTTTATTTCATACTATTTGGATAAATCCTGTTTTGAAGTAATTCAGTATTTTTTAATCATCTTAAATATATTTTGGATACTATTGTATTTACAGGTGGAAAATACGAAAGCTTAGAGCTGCCATCGCAACACTGAAAAATATTTATAGCAAAATTTAGACTTCTGTAAATTTACACTTTCTCTGTAAATTTACCTTTTCCTGTAAGTTTAGACTTTTTTTTTGTAAATTTACACCTTTTCTGTAGCTTTCTGTAAGCTGTAAATTTACAGAAAAAGTCTAAATTTACATAAAAATGTAAATTTACAGTATATCTGCAAATTTACACTTATCTGTAAATTTACACATTTTCTGTAAATTTACACCTTTTCTGTAAATTTACAAATTTTCTGTAAATATACACTTTTCTGTAAATTTACACCTTTTCTGTAAATTTACTTTTTTTTACATAAAAGGTGTAAATTTACGGAAAAATGTAGATTTACAGAAAATCAGTAAATAAATAAATAATTAATTAGTGTACTTAAATTTACAGAAAAATATAAATTTACAGGAGGTTACGGATTTTCTGTAAATTTACAGAGAAAGTGTAAAAAATACAGAAAATCTGCAAATTTACACTTTTCTGTAAATTTACATTTTTTCTGTAAATTTACACTTTCCTGTAAATATAGACTTCTTCTGTAAGTTTACACAAATTTACAGAAAATCCGTAATAAACCTGTAAATTTACAGTAAAGGTGTAAATTTACGGAAAAAATCTGCAATTTTTTTCAACACCTTTTCTGTAAATTTCCAGATTTTCTGTAAATTTACAGAAAATCCAAAATTTACGCCTTTTCTGAAAAATTGCACTTTTTCTGTAAATTTACACCTTTGCTGTAATAATAATAATAATAATAAATCGTCTCTATTGTACTATAAAAAAAAGATAGTTACAATTTGTAGGCGAAGTTTAGCTGTAAGCTATTCTACCACTTAATCCAAACATAAATTACATTTCCCTATATTGTATATTATATTCAATATACTTACAAAAAAAATAATGTGAATTTACAGATTATCGGTGAATCTACATTTTTTTATCAATTTCTGCGCTAGTGGCAACAGTAGCGCGTTAATCTACGAGTAAATCCTATCGAACTCCGCTCTACGCTAGTTTATTCATAAAAGTCATGAAATGATAAGCAATTATATTACTGACGGGTCTTTGGTATTTGGATCAGATTTCAACCAGATAATGTAACATGAAAATTCGTCTATCCAACCTGTTATGCAAATTCCAAATGGCTTAAGTTTGTCATAACAATCGGTATGCAATAGAAAATTGGGTCCTTTATTGTAGGATTATCGCCTTCGCGAGAGAACAGTTCTCTGAGTGTTTTTTGATTCACATTCACAACCAATCCATTTTGAAGGCACTAAGGCGCATCCAGCTGGATGCGCCTGGTCGTGTAGCTGACCGAAATGTTAAATATATTATATAAATTGGCGCACGAGTAAATCCCCATTTAATAACTCTGGCTCCCAATTTCCAAGTCCTGTTAACTGCATGATAGTACGTACAAGCGTTGAAGTACGAATTTACACATTTCAGATGACTGATATAAAAAGTCAGGTACTTTAATCACTATTAACTACATGATAGTACGCTCAATCGTTCAAGTACGAATTTACACATATTTTATCTCTAATCACTATATTCCTAGTCCTTTACAAACAAATATCTGGTAATTATCTCTAATACCCACGCGTAAAAATATCGCGTCTATGCTCGACTGGCATTTAAAAATAATAACAAAATTACTAAGTAATTCAGTTCCTATCAAATCGGCGATCACTAGAGATGCGTTTGATCGGTTTTTCAATTATTTTACTGTTTCTTGCGCAATGTTGTTATTCTGCAAGGATTTTGGGGGTGTTCCCAATGGCCGGGAAAAGTCTAAACATCCTGTATAATCGCCTGGCGAAGGGTTTGGCGGATGCGGCACACGACGTAACGCTGATTAGTGCATATGAACATAAATTACCTATTAAAAATGGTAGTATTACTGATGTACTTTTGACTGGATTTGCTGAAGATTATGAAAGTAAGTAAAACATTAAATACAGGGTGGCGCACGTCATTCGCCTCGGTTGAAAACGAAAAGATGAAGAAACAATATATTTTATGGGTATATGTGGGGAGGCAATGTGCACAATTTAAAATTATTTTGAAATATACCGGGTGCGTCTCGAAAGTGGCTCATCCCTATAACTTTTTTATCTTTTCAGATAAAAAAACGAGGTTAGGTATGTTCGTATATGACATAAATTAGAATTGATTGACGTATTCAATAGTTTTTGGTCACTTCCTGTTTCACCGGAAATGGCTACAACTTTGATTTTTAAATGGTACCCTCGGTATATTCTTACTTTATTCGACAGAAAATGACACTCTGAGTAGAATAACATATCATATGTCAACTTTTGACATTTTCGCTTTACAAACATTGTATTTTAAATTTCAATCTAGAGTGCCATGGCTGTGTTAAAACACTAATTTGTAATCAATTGGAAAAATAGTTTTGATCGTCTAATGTTTTTCGTGCCTTGTCCTGGATGGCCAAAAGATGCTCAAATCGTGTTTTTAATCATTTCTTAATTTTTTCAAATGGAACAAGATTGGCTCATTGGAATATTTAGAAAAAGCATTTTTTACGAATAATTTGGTACCACACACTTGGTATTTCGAGTCAACTTGCTATGAACCGCATGTTACAATTTCAAATAAACCATATGCGAAAACATCAAAAGTTGACATATGATATGTCATTCTATTCGGAGTGTAATTTTCTATCCTATAAAGTAGAAATCGAGAGTGCCATTTCAAAATCAAAAGTTGTTGTCATTTCCGGTGAAACAGGAAGTGACCAAAAACAATTGAATACCGTCAATCAATCCTAATTTATGTCATAGACTAACATACCAAATCTCGTTTTTTTATCTGAAAAAATAAAAAAGTTATAGGGTGTGAGCCACCTTTGAGGTGGCTCACGATATAAAACTAAAAACTATTTGCACCCGATATAAAATTAAAAATATATTTGATTGATGTTTCCTCTTAATGAAGATTTATTTTTAGTTTAAACCTAGAAACTAAATGTCATATTTTTTTATAAAATTTACATTTTTTTACAAATTCTATTAATACATTTTCTTAAATTGGGACAAGCTATAATACTAGGTGTTGAGTGGCGTGAATAACCCTGTATATTAATCAAATTAGATTTTGCCTAAATAAATACACTCTTTAAATTTTTAGATATGCTAAAGGGCCTTCTGGACACACCCGAGGAGTATGAGGTTACGGCAATACTTCACTATCTGGAGATGTTCAATCCATTATGGAACAGCACGTTCCATCATCCAAACGTTCGTAAACTGTTAGATTCCAACCAAAAATTCGACTTGGTCATCACCGAACACCTTTGGAACGACTGCCTGAAAATATTTGCCCACATCTACAACAGTCCCTTGGTTGTTTTCACCAGCATGGGCGGAATAAACCCGTGGATCAACGATCAAGTCGGCAATTTCTTGCTACCTTCGTACGTGCCTCATTTTTATAAGTTGGGAGACTTCTCTAAAGGACTAAACTTTGTCCACCGTGTTCACAATTTACTGTATTCCCTTACCGATTATGTCTACAAGCATTATTACTTGTTTCCGACGCAAAATGCTTTACTGAAGGGCGCTTTTAGTAACCCTCCCGACCTAGAAGATATCTACGACGATGTTGCCTTGGTTTTGCTCGGATCTCATGCCAGTTTGCGCTCTCCAACACCTTTGTCTCCAAACACTGTAGAAATTGGAGGATTTCACATTGATCCACCGAAAAAACTACCGAAAGATTTACAGGACATCATGGACAATGCTAAAAATGGAGTGATATTCTTCAGTATGGGTTCTCACGTGCAGAGCAAGGATTTTTCCGCGGAGAAAATGAAGATTTTCCTGAATGTATTCGCTAAGTTGAAGCAGACGGTTTTGTGGAAGTTTGAGGATGAAACGTTGCCTGGAAAGCCTGATAATGTTCACATAAGGAAATGGATGCCTCAAATGGATTTATTAGGTACTTGGGTTTGTCTTGGTTACATAATTCTAATTTCTTATTCACACTGGCTAACAACCGCCGACGGTATTGTTAGTGTATATGTTACAGTGAAAGTCGGAAATTAAGTGATTGTTAACATTCGCTAGGAAATGCTAGCAATTACGGATTGGACCAGTGTTATGTGATATTTTAAAGAGATTTGTCGACTTTTCCTAGTAATTTCTAACATTCACTAGTGAAAGTAACATTTACTAAAGGTTGCCAGTAAAAGTTATTCTATTGTACAGGGCGAGTGTGGTGAGGAAGAATGTTGGTGACAGTTAGAACAAATAAAACTTTTAAAAATATTGGATCACCTCAATATTCAAGCTGATCCACATATCTTAAAATTTCAATTTACTTCTTGGGTATATTTATTAAAACTTACAGAAAATAACGGCATAACCTTCTAAATATTAAAAGGAAAATCATGGTAAATCATTTTAAAGCGTACAAAACAATTAAAAAAATATATATTCATAAACATAAGTTTACTTATTGATACAAGGTTTTTTTAATAAAGTTCTTCATCGTGGACAAAATAAAGTATGTCTGAATTTTCTTCTACGGGAGTTATTCGTTTTTTCAAACCCGCTACTCCAAGCATATCAAAACGTTTAATAAATTTATAGTCACTAGGTTCTGTAATATCTTTTTCTCTCGCACGCTTAACTTTTGCTATGATTTCGTTATATTGCAAAAATGAAAAACAAGCACTATTACATTCTTGCGAGTGCTTAGTTTACCTTAATTTTACGAAAATTTCTTCCATAGGGAAAATACCGTACCGCATTTTTTACCGCACCACCTTTTTCTAGCTCATCCAAATATGAAGCTGTTTATCACCCATGGAGGATATGGAAGCCTTCAAGAAACCATCTACCATGGTGTACCAGTACTGGCAATCTCCGTATTCGCCGATCAGCATAATAATGCTTTCCAAGCAGTCCAACTGGGCTATGCTTTAAAGTTATCGTACAACGATAAAAATTTCAGCGAAGAAACCTTATTTAATCTGATCCAGGAATTGTTAAGCAATCCAAAATACCGAGAAAATGCCCAGGCTAGGTCCAGGGTATACCACGATAGACCAATGAAACCTCTGGATACTGCCATCTATTGGATAGAGTACGTTATTAGAAATAAAGGAGCCGAACATTTGAGATTACCCTCTACAAAGTTGCCCTGGTATAAATTATACTTGATAGACGTTTTTGCAGTATTTTTTATAAGTTTGTTAGTTTTGTATAAAATAGTCTGTGTCTTATTGAGTAAAGTATTTAGAGGAAAACAACAGAAAAGAAAATTAAAGAAAAAATAGATAGTATTTTAGGAATAAATTTAAATTTTTAGTAACATAATTTAATTTTCTTGTTGGTTTGTGACTGTTTTAAAATTATTGTGATGTTAAGTTGTATATTTAATGCCAAAGATATATACACTTTTGTTAATTAAAATCTGTTTATTTTTATTGTTTTTTAGTTCATTGATATAAAAAATGAAGCTTGGGTAATTACCTATAAAAATTGTCCTTTTTGTTTTCAAGATATTCCGACCTGAAGATCCCTGAATTTTTTCTTTAAGTCTTAACACACCGGACATAGATTTCATAAGGGTATCATTGATTGACAAAACAAATTATTTAATAACTCGACCAAAATAATATTTTTTGACGATTCAAAGTTCATTTTAAAGGTAGAATCAACAGTTATCACATTTTGGAACTTGTTGGAATTTTGTCGTATTTTATGAGAATAAAAAAAACCGTGCATACCATTCCTTGGCCCAAAAATTTTCATATTTTTACAAACTTATTCATATTTTCACTAATAATAGTTTATTTGTCAAGATTTTATTTTGTGCGCGTGCCAGATATTACAAGCATTGTCATACACAATTTTGTAAGTCATGTTTGACAGACCCTAGGCTATGAAGGGACGTAGGACGTCCCTGGGATGCTGATATTTCAGACCAAATGGTGAAGGTAGTCCATTATATCCGGGAAAATGGACAAGAACAATATACTCTGGAATAGTTGCAAGATATTGCAAGTAATTTTGAACTTCTATCATTGATTTCCAACTCCTCATTGATGTTTGTTACTTATAAAGTTATTATGTAATTTTCAGTTATCCAACTTTTCGGGAATTTCAAAAAAGCGGAAAAGGCCACTCGAATAGTTGTTTTTTTATTAATATGTGATTAAATAAATATTTCAAACTTTCACAGTTGCTTAAAGAGACTCTAAGAACAACTGTACTGGACTACTATTGAATCGTTTGTTGTTAAGATTTCGGTTTTAAACTCTTCACAGTTTTTTTAATATTAGCTTGCCACTCAATAATGGTTTGTTTTTATATACCGGGTGCTTCTCAAAAGTGGCTCACCCCTATAACTTTTTTATTTTTTCAGTTAACAAAACGAGATTTGGTATGTTAGTATATGACATAAATTAGGATTGATGGACGTATTCAATTGTTTTCGACCACTTCCTGTTTCACCGGAAATGACTACAACTTTTGATTTTTAAATGGCAACTGTCCAGGACAAGACACTAAAAACATTAGACGCTCAAATCTATTTTTCCAAGGCTCCTTGATTTAGAATTAGTGTTTTTAACATAGCCATGGTACTCTAGATTGAATTTTAAAATACGATTTTTTATTAAGCGAGAATGTCAAAAGTTGACATATGGTATGTCATTCTATCCAGAATGTCATTTTCTATGGAATAAAGTAAAAAAAATACCCAGGGTGCCATTTAAAAATCAAAAGTTGTAGTAATTTCCGGTGAAACGGGAAGTGACCAAAAACAATTGAATATGTCAATCAATCCTAATTTATGTCATATAGGTACTAACATACCCTCATCTCATTTTTTTTATCTGAAGATATAAAAATGTTATAGAGGTGAGCCACTTTTGAGACGCACCCGGTATATCTTGACTATTTTACTAAAAATATATTATAATTTTGTGCAACATTTTGTTTGTGCAAAAGAATTTTTTGTTGAAGACACTGTCAGGCACTTATTTGAGGGACATCCTGTATAGATTTAAAACCCAAAATACAGGTAAATTATCTAGGATTATACATATCGAAACCACAATATTTATTAGTTATTACATGTATCAGTGTTTGTTTTGTTATCTACTTATAATAAAATTAACTTAACTTATAAAGTAAATATTGATCCTTGTAACCTTGAAAAAATTATCTGCTTTTGTTCTAATAAAAGCCAGTATTATTTAAATATTTGCATAATTTTTTGAAGTTATTATTCAAAGAAAATGTCAGCGAACGAGTATCAACTTTTACACAAACCAAAGCAATACTTTATAAACATATTTTTAATAACCATCTTTAGTATTACCATCATAATTGCCACCTAATGCTAGACTAGGCATTTTAAACAATATAAAAATTGTTAAGCCATTCAGTTCGAATCGAAACAACGAGCCCTGGAGATGCGGCTGACGCAATTATCAATTATTTTATTGTTTTTCGTGCAATGTTCCCATTCTGCAAGGATTTTGGGAGTGTTTCCCTTGGCGGGGAAAAGCTTAAACATCCTGTACAATCGTCTGATGAAGGGTTTGGCGGATGCGGGACACGACGTAACAGTGATTAGTGCTTATGAAAATAAATTACCTCTTATAAATGGCAGTATTACTGATGTAATTTTGACAGGATTTGCCGAGGAATATGATAGTAAGTAAAAAGTTATTTTTTTTGGCAAATCAGAAAATCATTGGAAATAAATTCTTTGATTTCCATTGTTTCCAATAAAATTTAATTCTCAAATAAAAATAAATCCAGATATATACAGGATTATTCACCTCAAACGACACGGAGTATTGTAGCCAAATGAATAAGGACTACTAATTAAAATTATTTTCAAAAGGTACAGAGTGTCCCAAATAAAAAAAAATATCAAAGTTGTATTTTTTAGATGGAACACCTTCTATATTATTACATTTTTAGTTTCTACGACTAAAATAAAGATAAATTTGATTATAAGCTTTACCGCACTTAAATCAATATAATAATAAGTTATGAATATGAACGTCTGTTTTATAAATAAGCATTCGTCAATAAGTGAAATAAAATTACCTTTTTACCTTTTTACACTGTCTAATACGCATACAAAATTCAGTTTTTTTAGTATTTGGAGCAATATTAATCAACACTCAATTAATGTAGTTCCAATACCGGAATCAAATTAATTGATCCACTTTTACAAATATTTAAACATTTTTTTTTATTTTTTAATGAAATAAGCAAACTACATCGATAATATTAGTATCGGTACTCTTCGAAAATTTGTTACATCTTCAAAAATAATCTAAAATGTCAATATTCCACGAGTATATTGATAAATGAGGTCTAACTTATAAGAAAATGCATTCTCTGCGAAAACTTGAAGGGATAGGTAAAAAATGGTTCATACAATTTGATAGACAACTAAATTGTGCATCTGATTTATGTAAAATATATAGGGTGTTCCATTTATATTTGAGCAAGTTAGTGCCGTTTACATCTGGTAATTATTTAATATAAATTTCTAGACACTCTGTATAAGATAGTATTTTGTTTATTATTGCAGCACAATATCTGATCAATAAATAATCTTCACTAAATATTTAGTATTAAAAAGTTTGATACCCTTGGAGAAATGAAGTCTTAACTTTTTTACTGCAATTTTACAAATTTGAAAATATTTAAAAAACGGTAAGGTTTAAGTGTGATAAACCTTAATCAAATTTACCTTTATTTTAATCGCAGAATCTAAAAATAGAATAATAAACAGTGAGGTGGAGTGTTCCATTTAAAAAAAAATACAACTATACTATTTTTTACTTATTTGAGACACTTTGTATCTTGTAAAATTATTTTTAAATTGTAGCTCTAATAGTCCTTTAACGAACCCAAAACTTACAATTTGTAAAAATCTAATGGTTTAGCTACAATACTCCGTGTCGTATGTGGTGAACAACCCTGTAGATTCCATGCATAAAATATTGATTATGTTGTTGAAATGAAAAAAAATATTGGGTAAACATGACCCTATATTTTTTTAGTAAAACTGCATTATTAAATAATTTCATATGATTTTTAGTTATTATAAATGAAGAAAACTTCCTCGACAGCCCTGAAGAGTACCCGTTCTATACAGTACTCTACTACCTGGTATTATTCGAACCCATATGGAACAACACGCTACACCATCCAAACGTTCAAAAACTGTTAGCTTCAAATAAACAATTCGACTTGGTCATTACAGAACATCTGTGGAACGATTGCCTGAAAGTATTTGCTCATTTCTACAACTGCCCCTTGGTCGTATTTACCAGCATGGGTGGAATAAACACATGGGTAAACGATCAGGTGGGCAATTTCTTTTTACCATCTTATGTTAATCATGCCATGAAGCTCAGTGGCGAATCTGAGGAAATGAATTTTGCCCAACGGGCCCATAATTTACTGTTTTATATCACTGATTATGTTTACAAGCATTATTACTTGTTCCCAAACAGTAATGCTATGTTAAAGAGTGCTTTCAGTAACCCTCCTGACATAGAAGACATCTATGACAACGTTTCCTTGGTTCTTCTTGGTTCTCACGCAAGTCTACGGCCTGCAGCGCCTCTATCACCAAATACTGTAGAAATTGGAGGTTTTCATATTGATCCACCCAAAAAACTGCCCAAGGACTTGCAAGAGATCATGGACAATGCGAAACATGGCGTGATATACTTAAGTATGGGTTCTCACTTGAAGAGTAGGGATTTCTCTGAGGACAGAAAAAAGATGTTCTTGAACGTGTTTGGTAGGTTGAAGCAGACGGTTTTGTGGAAGTTTGAGGATGAAACGTTGCCTGGAAAGCCTGATAATGTTTTTACAAAGAAATGGCTGCCGCAGATGGATTTATTAGGTACTTGTATAGTAAATACTGGATCATGACATTTTATCAAAGTAAGGATTAATTTTTAAATTAATTGAAACTTTTTTTGATAACATTACAGTTTGATAATGTATTTTTAATTATTTTAATCAAAGATACACCTAAATAGAACTAATTATATAGAGTGAGTCTTAAATAAGTGCAAATATTTTCAGGGCTGGTAGATCTCAACATCTACCAAACCTAACCTAACTAAAAAAAAAATGATTTTTGCTTAAATTTTGAGAACAACTGGATCTTTTCTGGTTTTTCTTTCTTGTAAATTTGATATACTACTTGTGTTGCCATATTATCAAGAAATTAGGTTTTTTAACAGCATAGGCTTTTTTGTTTTAGGGTTTTTAACTGAAAACAAAAAAAAATCAAAGAACTCCAAATTTTCAGTTTTTTCGCGAAAAAAACCCCTTATATTCGTGCTTTTGTGATCGAAATATACTATCCCTAAAAATATTTGCACTTATTTAACACTCACCCTGTATAAAGGTTCCTGCAATAATGCGTCGGGCATCTGTAGCATCTATAATAAAAATTAAAGAATTTCGTTTAAGTGCAAACGCAAAGTATATGCTAGGAGGTATTTCAGAAAATATTTTAACTTAACTATACGTACAACGTACAGGGTGGCTCAAGAAATGTGAATGGATCGGGATGAATTTTTAATAGAACTCTCTCTATATTATTGCATTTCTGATCACTTTGCATTATCCTAAAATAATATTAAATATTCTTTGATAGTTTTAGAGATATCAATGATCAAATAAAAAAAATATATTCTTTAGTGTCAAAAAGAACATTAATAATACAAGAAATATGTGTGACCTGAAATCAAAACTGTACTAGTTATTTACTATAGTTTGTCTGTACTTATTTTGCTACAAATATTGTAATCTTAAACCATACTGAATGTTCAAAATTTTACGCCAAACTCTTTCAACAAAAAAAATAATATTTTTTTGTTAGATGTGGAATTAAAAAATTAAAAAAAAGTAAATTTTTATCAAAGCCACCTAATGATTTTTATCTGGTATTCTATCCTTGAAAGAGCCAATATGTAATAATACTGCGAATATCTGCGGAACCGTTAAAAATTCTAAAATACTTTAAACATATAAAATGTTCATTTTTTAATACTCCATCTAACAAAAATATACAGGGTGTCCAATTAAAAAAAAACCAGAAAAATACAATTATATTTTTTTAGGTTTAAGTTTTGTTGGGAATTTTTTGAACACCCTGTATGATTTAAGATTACGATATTTATAATAAACAAATACAGGCCTAAGTAAGTTTCTAGCATCATTTTGATTTTTATCCCAGGACACATAATATTGTATTTCCAATAGATATTCATTTTTAAAAAAGCCCAGAAATAATATTTTTGCTTATTTGTCTCTCTGAAATTATAAAAAAAATATCTTATGAATATGTAAAGTGACTAAGAAGGAAGCCAAAAATGCAATAACACACAAAGTGTTCCATTGAAAATTATCCCAACCCACTCACCCTTTTTTGGGCCACTTAGAAGTTAAATATTTTCCTGAAATAAGTTCTAGTACAGGGTGGGTCAAATTCGACGCTTTTAAATGGAAACACCCTGTTCTATAGGAGATAGACGAAAACTAATATCGGTGTCTGGAGCTCAATTTTGATCAAAAACATGATGGTGAAAACCGCTCATCAATATCTGTTACCGTTTCGGAGTTACGGGGTGTTTTTCAAAAATATGCATTTTTAACAAATCGCTGTAACTTTTTTGCTATCGAAAATTTTGTATTTCTATAAAAACATTTCCAAAGCACCTTTTTACCTAGAATTTAATGGTTTAAGTATAATTTTTTTAAAATTAATAATTTAAGAGTTATCAACAGAAAAATTGATTTTTTATTTGGGACACCCTTTATATTTTAAATTAACTGAAAAGAATTTAAAATTACCTTTCCAAAAATATAGCACACTTGATATTTTGTTATAGTCCCCTTCGAAATACAGAATTTTTAAAAGTTCGCCACTTTTAACTAGTAGGCTTTGGACCCTTTATTGATGATATGCCCTGAACGGAACTCGAAAACATATTTTTCCAGCAAGACGACGCACCGCCTCTGATCGCTGAAGTTATCAGCAAATTTTTGCATCCAATTTCAAGAATAATTGAATAGCCAACCAAGATTCCAGCCGTTGGCCGTCGAGGCCGCCTGACTTAGTGCCCATGGATCTAATCCTATCGATATATTGGCGGAGAAATAAAGGTTCATTATTCTTCCGTATAATCTAGACAATCTAGACAAGAATTAGAAATACTTAGCAGTTATGAGAGGGTATCTTTCAGCCCCACTGAATTAATGAATTCCGCGAGAAATGTTCAAAAACTGCCCCGTCTGTCCATAACAGAAGACGGTTGATATGTCGAACACCTATAACAAAATCTCATGTCTTGGTTTGCTATTTGTTTTTCTTGTTATTAGATATAGTTTAAATGTGTTGATGTTGGTTACATATATTTTAAATTGTTATAAAATTCTGCATCTCTCATAGCAAATATTATTTCGACATAACAGAAGACGGTTGATATGTCGAACACCTATAGCAAAATCTCATGTCTTGGTTTGCTATTTGTTTTTCTTGTTATTAGATATAGTTTAAATGTGTTGATGTTGATTAAATATATTTTAAATAGTTATAAAATTCTGCATCTCTCATAGCAAATATTATTTTCGTTTTAATTGATGCTCATAGCTAGATTTTTTTGCATTACAGCCGGTGCCGTTCAAAGCCTACTCATTTAAAGCGGGCGAATTTTTATATAATCTATATCTCGAAGAGGAATCGAGCAAAATATCAAGTGTGTTATATTTTTGGAAAGGTAATTTTAAATTATTTTCAATAAATTAAAAATACACAGGGTGTCCCATATGAAAAATCAAATTTTCTGTTGATAATTCTTAAATTATTAATTTTAAAAAAATTATACTTAAACCATTAAATTCTACGTAAAAAGGTGCTTTGGAAATGTTTTCATAAAAATACAAAATTTTCCATAACAAAAAAGTTACAGCGATTTGTTAAAAGTGCACATTTTTGAAAAACACCCCGTAACTCCGAAACGGTAACAGATATCGATATGCGGTTTTCACTATCATGTTTCTGACAAAAATTGAGCTCCAGACACCGATATTAGTTTTCGTCTATCTCCTATAGAAAAGGGTGTTTCCATTTAAAAGCGTCGAATTTGACTCACCCTGTACATACTTTAGGTATGCATTTAAATTTGTGTGTGTTTTTTTATAGGACAGACAGATGTTTGACGCACTGTATATATATATATATATATATATATATATAAATATATATATATATATATATATATATATATATATATATATATATATATATATATATATATATATATATATATATATATATATATATATATGAGTTATATATGAACTAAAATTATTACATACTTTTAGCCCATCCAAATATGAAACTTTTTATCACCCATGGAGGATATGGTAGTCTTCAAGAGACCATCTATCATGGAGTACCAGTATTGGCAATCTCCGTAGCAGCTGACCAACATAACAATGCTTTCCAGGCAGTCCAATTGGGCTTTGCCTTAAAACTATCATACAACGATAAAAGATTCAGCGAGGAAACCTTATTTAATCAAATCAGAGAATTGCTAGATAACCCAAAGTATAGAGAAAATGCCCAGGCTAGATCCAGGTTGTTTCATGACAGACCAATGAAACCTCTGGATACTGCCGTTTATTGGATAGAGTACGTTATTAGAAATAAAGGAGCTGATCATTTGAGATTGTCCTCTACAAAGTTGTCCTGGTATAAATTATACTTGATAGATGTTTTTGCAGTGTTTTTAATAAGTTTGTTAGTTTTGTATAGAATAGTGAGTGTCTTATTGGCTAAAATATTTAAAAAAGAACAGCGGAAGCAAAAATTAAAGAAAAATTAGTTCATTTAGGAATACTTTTAAATTTTTAAAAACATTACATAATTTTCGTAGGATTTATCTACCGTGTGTTACATCATCGACCTGGAAATAGGAAATCCTATGTAAATTTTAAGAATGATGAATAAGTTTTGCCCATTTTATTTTACACAAATAAAATGGGCATGACTGACAATTTATAGCAGTGGAATATTTAAATGATTCAAAATTATGCTTTTTCAAATCCGCCAAGCAGTGGTACTTACGCCATGCAGTGGTAGTTTACTTACTTGGTTTGTATATTTATCAATAATAACCTTCTTTTTATATTCAGAGTCTGTTCGTTATTCCTACATTTCTAATCTTCAATTACTGATCTGGCATATTTGGAAAATTTACAGGAAAAAAATCCTTTACAGCCATTTTTCATCCATAATATCACTAAATTTTTTTTTTCTTTAGTTATGAGGTATATAAATAAAATATACTTTTCAAAAATATATCTCTCCATTTTTTTTCTAATAAAAATTCGTATTTATTTGGCCTTTTATTTTTAGTATTAGTACACGGTCTACCGTGTGTTACATCGTCGATCTTGGAGATAGAAAATCCTATGTTAATAAAAAAAAAATAATGAATAAGTTTTGCCCATTTAATTTTACAGAAATAAAATGGGCATAACTGGCAATTTTTAGCAATGGAATATTTAAATGATTTAAAATTATGCTTTTTCAAATCCGCCAAGCAGTGGTACGATGTTTAATTACTAATGGTTTTAATATTCATCAATAATAATCTTCTTTTCATATTCTATTTAAAATATACTTTTCAAAAATATATCTCTCCATTTTTTTCTAATAAAAATTCGTATTTATTTGGTCTTTTATTTTTAGTATTAGTACAATGTGTTATTGTTTTTACAAAATTACATATAATAAATAATAAAATAGTAATAACACGCAAAGATGATTTAAACACAAGTGTATTAAGAAAATTAGATTTTTTTTTCATTTTGCTGATTATGGATATTAATGACATGCAATAGTCATTTCTATCCGCCGCATCTTTAACTTTGAACCTTGAACCTAGACACTATAATAATAGTCGTTAGGCAGACTATTAAAAAATAAATTTATTAAGAATTACATAACAACTTAACTGATCAAAACTATTCAATTTTATAGTCATTGTTTTATTTTTGACAATTTTTTTCTATTATTACAAATGAATTATTTTAAAAATTTTTAAAATTTATAGTCTATACCTAAATATGGATACCGGAAGTTGAAATAGACAAATTATCTTATTCCTATTATTCTTCAATGATTTTCTGCAAAATAAAAAAAATAACCACTCTTGAGAATGTCCAGGTGACGTTTTTTTGGCTTTATGGCTTCCATTTCTTTATGTGAAGCTGAAGATTTAGATTATACAGGGTCCGGCAATAGTTCGTCGGTTAGTAGTTCGTCAGGCAATAGTTCGTAGCTCATATAATAAAATACTGAGGCATTTTGTTTGCAGATATAATAAATTCCTGAGCGATTTTGTGAGTGCAGACCTAAAATATGTATTAGGTTGTATTTCAGAAAAAATATTTTAACTTCAACAGGGTAGCTCAAAAAGTGTGAATGGATCCTGAGAATTTTTTTAAATATAAAAAATATATAACATTTTTTAAATAAAGATGTATTTTTTTAAATGGAACACCCTTTATATTATTGCATTTTTGTTTCCTTTCTGATTACTTTAGATAATCCTAAAATATTATAAAATATATTTGTATAGTTTAAGAGATATAAATAAATCAATAAAAAAAATTTCAGCCATTTTTAAAAAAATTACTAAAAGTAGAAGAAATGTCCTGAAATCAAAAGTATACTAGATATTTACTATAGTTGATCTGCACTTACTTTCCTGTAAATATCGTAATCTTAAAGCATACAGGATGTACAAAATTCTATGCCAAACTTTCTAAAATATAAAATAATTTTTCTTTTTCATTTAAAAAACGATGTACTTAAACAGCCGTTAAACGGTAGCCTACTAAAATGCCGTTAATAGATATTGTGACGTCGTTCATGTCGGCGGAAAGTAGTGCCTAGCCATAAGCATATTGCAAGAGCACCTGTGGCTTCGTGGCTGAGGCTATCGGTTCGTGAGCGAGTGGTCCGGGGTTCAAATCTCACGCTGACTAAGACTTCTTTATATTTTTTTTGCTTTAGCGTGATCTTATTGCATTGGTTTCACTATTTTTGGTTGGATTGGTTTAGTTATTTGGCGGGTTGGTTAGCGTGATTATTTGGAGGGTGTTAATTCATTGGTTGGTTGGTTATTTGGTGGGGTTGGTTGGTTTTTACTAATTTATATTTGTTTTTTAATTTTTTTTATCAGTGTCGAGGTTAGTTGCGTTGGTTATTTGGTGGGGTGGATAGCGTTGGTTAGTCCTTATAAAATTCCTATATTTCATAAAGCCGTCAAGTGCGTCACATCAACGACGTTATACCTATTAACGGCATTTTAGTAAGCTACCGTTTAACGGCAGTTTAAGTACAGCCTTTAAAAAATCATCCAAATCTAATCACACTTTTTTGAGCCACCTTTAGAAGTTAAAAGTTTTTATTACAGGAGCTACGCATGCCCGACGCACTATTGCTGGACCCTGTAAATGATCCAAATATGGTAGGGGTACCTAAAGGTGCGTTCAGACCTGCTGCGCCGCTCCGCGCCGCGCAAATTATTTTTTTAACCTATACTTTTGTGCGCGCTAAAAAGATACACTTTAAAAGTACATGTTAAAAAAATGTTATGCGCGGAGCGGCGCAGCCGTTGTGAACGCACCTTAAGATGATGCAAACTTTCTCCCCATATGTACCGCATGATAAAAAAAAACGGCATCAGCGATGGCTATGAAATGAAGATTGCTGTCATTTTATATGTAAATTTATATGGGAACTGTCATCGATCGTCATTTCCCAGCCATTTGGACGCCGTTTTTTTTTTCGATCACACGGTAGGTATGTCGCGCTTAAATAAATTCAAAAATCCACGCTTGGGCTTCCCTACTAAGATATCTCATTTACTATATTTTCCTTTAATTTATTTGTTTACCCTGTACGTTTTCAATCCGTATTTTCTCTAACTAGCGAATTAAAAAAGGAGAAGCTTTAATTTCAGCTTGTAAAAAGCTAAAAAAGTGCCACGCCGATTCAATTACTGAATCCTTTGAACCTCTCCCAACTTCTCCAAACGAATTTAAAGATTACAGCTTTTGATGTCTTTTCACTAAACTTTTTCATCTTATTTTTTCTTATTGACATAAATTTGATTCACTAGTCAGAATTCTTATTTTTTGCCTCATTTTTTTATTGAGCTTGGCGATTGATATTTACCTCATTATGTTTTTTAATTAAATTCTTTTTAATTTCATTTTAATCTCCCTTAACTAAGTCTGACAAATTGTTCCATAGACATGTATAAACGATGGACTAGTTAAGTACAGTGATTTGTTTTGACCTGGCATATACAAGCAAAATCTAAATAAACCGATTGTTTTTTTACAGCCTGATTTGACAACATATTATTGTCAGATATAGAATACAATATACAGGGTGTCAAAAATAGTGTATCTAACAGCGGTGGGTGATTCTACAGATAAAAATTAAACAAAAAGTTCCTATATAATATGTATGTATATAATATACGCCTCTATGAATAAACTGCTTCCCTAAGAAATTACAGCCCTCGATTAGATAAAAATAATATACCGGGTGTGTCTCAAAAGTGGCTCACCCCCTATAACTTTTTTATTTTTTCAGATAAGAAAACGAGATTTGGTATGTTAGTATATGACATAAATTAGGACTGATTGACGTATTCAATTGTATTTGGCCATTTCCTGTTTTGCCAGAAATGGCTACAACTTTTGACTTTTAAATGGCACCCTCGTTATTTTTTTAACTTTATTCGATAGAAAATGACATATCAGGTGCCAACTTTTGATATTCCGCTTAATAAAAAATCGTATTTTAAAATTCAATTTAGAGTGGCTAGCCATGGCTATGTTAAAAACACTAATTCTTAATCAAGAAGCCTTGGAAAAATATATTTGATCGTTTAATGTTTTTAGTGTCTTGTCCTGGCCAGTTAGAAAATACTCAAATCGTATTTTTAATCATATCTCAATTTTTTCAAATAAAGAGGGTGGCTCATTAGCATACTTGGAAAAAGCATTTTTTACGAATAATTTGATACCACACAATTGATATTTTGAGTCAAATTTTCTTTACGAACCGCAAGTTATAACTTCAAATAAACCATATGCGAAAATGTCAAAAGTTGACATATGATATGTCATTCAATTCAGAATGTTATTTTTTTATCGAATAAAGTAAAAAAATACCGAGGGTGCCATTTAAAAATCAAAAGTTGTAGTCATTTCCGGTGAAACAGGAAGTGACCAGAAACAATTGAATACGTCAATTAATCCCAATTTATGTCATAGACTGAATGTTGTTACAACCAAACTAAACATACCAAATCTCGTTTTTTAACTTAAAAAATAAAAGAGTTATAGGGGTGAGCCACTTTTGAGACGCACCCGGTATTTTGTTTATTTTTAAGAACATTGGCAGGGGCGCACTAGACACTGACTTCTGAAGGGGCTCAATCCGTGAGACTTCTAAGGTAATATTGGTTTGAGGATATATAATTTTAAAGTAACGGTAAGAAACCCCTCTAGTACTTTTAAATTCTTCTAAATGAATTAAAAATATACAGGGTGTCCCATATAAAAAATATTTTTTTTGTTGACATCTCTTAAATTATTAATTTTTAAAAAAATATACTTCATACCATTAAATTCTACGTAAACAGATACTTCTTCATAAAAATAAAATTTTTTCCATCTTTTCTCGTCTCGTCTTGTCTCATCTCGTCTCGTCTCGTCTCGTCTCCTGTATTTTTTTGAAATTAAATAATTCGATTTGATTTGTTCAATTTTATATAGTTTTTTTCACAATATATTGAAGTAATCACTTGTCACTCAAATTTCAAATATATGTTTTCAATTGTACCGACTTATTTCTTTGTAAAATAAAATATACTACTTTAAAATTAAAACGACAGACACATCTATCACTGTGAAGGATTTTGTCGGTGGACAGACTATAGTACATATTTAAGAACAAAACTTTTGATTTAATCTGCAGGAGTATAATTACCATATTTTTATTATTTAATTTTATTATTACTTCCTTCAAATTCTTTGATCAATTTCTTCGTCAATTCCTTTTTCAAATCCCTTAAAGTTTTATTTTATTATTAATTCTTTCGAG